AATGAACGTTTGAATTCTGTAAAAGGCAGGGCATTTCATGGTTAGTGGAGCGACTTTTAACTTCTGAAGAAGGACTTTACTCCATGGAGTGAGGTTAGGTTAGGTTCTCACGGTAACGAATATGAAGATGGGATGTTACGCCATTTAGTCTGGTAGAAACTGAACGACGTTTCAGAGGTGCTCAGTGCCTGTGTCATAAGAGCGAAAGTGAGCGCTTCTGAAACATCGCCAAATTTCTACCAGAATGCAGCGCGCAAAGAAATGCTTGACGAAGTTAAGACTACGGTAGGAGACAGTGAACTTAACTTCAAGCCTACTAACCCAGTATTTCGTGGATTGAGGACAGTCGGTCTGAAGTGGAGTGGAACTCCGCTAAGTGTGACAGTTGCAAACGGGCGTCAGAATGATCTGCGCCTCTCAAGGGATGGTAGCGATCACGATGGAAGGAGCAACTCTTCACAGCTAGCGACATCCTTAATTTAAGTTTCGTTTTAGTGGTTTAATAGTGAATATTACAACTCTCGGCCAATATATTGGTATCATTACCGAGATTTTCGTGTCTTTCCTCAGGTTAATCCTGGGTTAGTGCCTTAATTTAGGCCACGACTGTTTCAATGTTCAACCTCCCTAATTCATTACTCACTAATCATCAGATAATTTGATGCAGTATAACGGAATCAATTGAAAGAATTGTTATATAAACCAAAAATAAATATAAAAATGACAACTTTTTCGCATTGTCGGGATGGTTAAGTAAGTTACTTTTTTTCCGTTCCATACCGACGGGAAAAATGTTACAGCTTAAATTATTTCACGTGTGGAAGGTTTGGGGTTCTCAAAGTGGCTTTTACGAAGATGTCTGTCTTCTGGATAGTTGCGCTGTGTAGTGCTTTAGAAATTAACCGACGTTTCATATATGGTGTCTGCCTCCATCATTAGAGGGGTGACCAGAAGACAGACACCCCCTTATATCATACGCCCTCACGCTCGCCAATGGATTGCGAATGTTGTGTATGTGAATCTGTAACGTCTGTTCGATTTTAACGCCACGTAAAGATGTAATTTTTTTATTGTAAATAAGAATCTTTCATAGGCTTGTCTGTTATTTGTACTACATAATGTGAGACACACAGGGTATCGTTCTCGGAATACTCCACTACCGTTTACCGGCTCGTAAATCAGGAAACGTTGAGTATGACCCTGAATTGACCCTCGTGTATGCTTTACATAATTCGTCGTACACACACGCTAGGAAGAAATTTCATGTCACTGAAAGCAAAGGGAAATACCAAGAACACTAAGGAATATGACAAGATGGTATCGAACAGCTGACATCGGTACGTAGTAGCATAGACCATCATGGGATTTATTGATCGGTAGAATCCTTATTAGGCCACAGGAATGATTATGTAAGAATGGGTTACGTCGTCACAGATCTGGGAGATGGTGACGGAACACAATAGACAGCATCTCACGAAGAGAGAGGTGAAGTGTCGAAAGTAGGTGGAGCAGAGAGTCAGGATGTGGCTCGTTTGGTGACGTTTTCAATGTCTGTTCAACAGTTACATAGAACATAGTTCTTCTTGAGAAGCTAATAGTAGCTCAGGTGATCAAGAAATTCCCCGCCTTGTGTGGAACGCGAAGATTTAATAGTGTTCACAAGAATACGCCAATACATCCCGTTCAGAGCCAGTTGAATTCAGTCTCATTTTTACATCCTATGTCTCTGAGATTCATTCCCGCACAAGATGACGAAGTCACGCCGAGCTTTTAAGAAACAATTAAAAACAACTTTCTGCCAATCAGTTTCAATACGGGCGCTTTTCGTAACGTGAAAGATGTTTCGTCGATGGTTTCAGCCCACACGTGCTTGAACCTGTCTGGAGCTACTCTTAAAACAGTTATGGTGATCTTAGTTTGTGTTCAGCCAAGTTGTCTGCTTCCCCGGTAAACCTGTGCCCAACACCTTTGATATAAGTCGAGGGGCGTGAAGTCTGGTGATCTTTGAGGCCAAGTGACTGAGAATCCTCTT